GGTAGGTGATGGTTGTGATTTCATGTTGGTGTGATATATGTTTGTAATTGCTTCATTATAATGCATGTATGTATGCGAATGTTGCATTATTGATCACCATGTAAATGAGGATAATTGAATAATTGTATGTCATGAATCACATCTTGTTGTATGATTGTGAGGATATACATTGTGATTGTGATTGTGGTTGTGGTTGTTGAATGGATCGGTTGCCACATTCTGGCATAAACATGTGATCGATTGCCACGTTCCAGCATAAACATGAGATCGGTTACCACGTTCCGGCATAAACATGAGATCGACTGTCATGTTCCGGCACACTAACTTGGATCGGGTATCACAAATCAGTATGCTAACAGTTTGGGTTTGAGTTCCATGAGAGGACTATTGAATTGGGTTCCGTGAGAGGACCATTGAATTGTGTTGTGTATCAACTTGTGATGAGTTCGTTCATATATAATGATGATTGATATTGGAAGACGGTATGTTGCTCTAAATTGATATAACTGTTATATGTGAGAATCGTAAAGTTGTTTATTGTTCGTATATGTTGATGATATTGTATATGTTCGATATGTGCATGTGATTATATTGTTGTATTGACTAATGTATGTTACACTTAATGTGATAGTCGCGTGATCCTACCAGTACACTGTGGTTGTGTACTGATACTACACTTGCTTGTTCTTTGTTGAGTACAGGGCATCTTCAGGCGGCTATTGATAGACCTTAGCTATGTGACTATTAAGTGTGACCGGATTCAAGGGTCAGCCAGTTCTTTCAGGCTGCCATGAATCTTTCTTGTTTAAGTCCACTTTTTTCGGACTCAGACTATTTGTGTAAGGTGTTGTTTAGTTTCGGGGTTGTACCCCTTGTTCTTAGACTTATTGTTAGTAGAGTTTTGGTGCATTGACTTTCAGGTTCTAGGGGTTGAATTTCCGCATTAGCTTGGTTAGTTAATTGTTTAAACCTTTGGAGTTTATGGGAACTCCACACTTTTATTGTCATTTAAACTTGCTTCCGTATCTTTAAATGCATAGTTTTTGATTAAGTTGTCTAGTTTGGGCTGTAGTAATGGTTCTCCCACCAAAGGATTTGTGTGGGTGCCAATCACGACGGTCTGGGTCGTGACATTATATATGTACTATAATGCCCTATATATTATATATTAATAGCTAAGGGAATGTGGCCCGTGCTGACATGGAAAACGTTATATCAAAATTTAATATTGAGTAAAATTTGAATTGTTATTATGTATCATAAAGTACAAAACGTACTTAAAGAAGATAAACTGTTTACATATTACTTAATTGTTTTGATGATATTTGCTAAGGAGTCAAGTTTACAAGATAGGTATGTACATTTCATTTACATAATTAAAAAAATGCAATGCTTCGTACGGAAGGTTAATTAAGTTGTAGTCTTAGTTATTGTGGTCTTTGAACATAACTTTGAGACCTGTAACATTAGGTAGAGAAGAGGGATTAGTATTCATGAAAATATCTTGAAAAAAAAGATTGAATCACAATTAGTTGTTACACACAAATATAAGTACAAATTTGTCACTTCTATTTTTTTAAGTTTATAAAAAATACACATAAACCAACCATATCCTCGATAACGTAGCAAAAGGTGGCTCTATCCATATTCCAAAAGCGAGAAATAAAAGATTTTTCACCGACGGTAAAATTAAAATACAAGAGTAAGTTGCATTTGTAAGCAAAAAAATGGTCTATAAACAAAGTAGTTATAAGCTAAAAATTAAATGTTTCAACTCCATTTTAAAAAGAATTCAGTTTCTAGCTTCAGAAGTACTTAAATATCTAACTTTTCACTTAGCTATCTAAATTTCACTTAGCTATATTGCAGTACTAATGCAAAGGATTAACTCAACCTTTGATGAGTCATTTTTTATCAAATTGTCAATTCTTTTGGGTGGTGTTTCATCTTCTAATGAGGTTCTTCCTCAAGTCATTAAGGTACTATTTACTTTCCTTTTCGTTTTCAAAAACTGTGTCTTGTCTAATGCCTTATTTGAAGTCCCCAGTCATTTTCCTTACTCGAAGTTATATTCATTCAGCTTTATTTGTTTGTGCTTCAACTAAGGAAATCTTTTTCTTATCGCTCATCTTGCATCATATTATAGTTCAGGACGTCTAGCTTGTTTTATCCACAGTGCTTTTTTTTTTGCAAAGCTTTAATCTATTTGTTTTGTTTTTATCACACATTTTTCGACATCACTTTTTTACCACTGGTTAAAATATATTCACACATTATAGAATTATAAACATACTATATATGTACAAATCCAATTTCGATATGAAAACTATTACCTGCTAATTGGAAAATAATATAGCCACACGAACAGAGAATTAGCCCGCAAAGAAAAAAAATAGGGAAAAACAACAAAATATCAGTAAACAACTTCACAAATTCAAAAATCGCAACAATAAAATAATTTTGAGATCGAATAAAAATTACTTAGAAAGAAAGATCATCAAAGAGATGTAAATAATAAAATTTCAACATCATTCATTACAAAAAATCAAGGGATTCTTGTTCTCTAATGTAAAAGAGGGAAAAAATCGCTACATCATTTTTTTATAAAAAAAAATCTATTGCTCTGATGTTTTAGAAAATGAAAGCTGCAAATTGTGGGCTATCAGATCTATAATGTTCTATATTTATTTTATCCTTTCAATTCAATTTCGTAGACCCATAATTTAGAATTTTTTTGTAGTCCAATAGATAATTCTACAAATTTGTACCTCAATCAAGCTTAATTAGAGATGCAATAAATTGGAGTGAGACTTTCTTTTCTTAGAAATTATCAAAGATGAAGAGAATCCAAAGAAAATTAAAAAATTATACAAAAGAGAGCAAATGCAGATGAGAGCACATTGAGACAGAGACAGAAGTGATACAGGTACAAAAAAAACTGCTACTGACACGTAATATAAACTAACACATTAATTATAGATTAAATGACCAGAATATTCTTAATTTAAAAATAAATTACATTAACTGTCTGAAACTCTCTTCTATATAAGAAGACTACGGGAATATGGCCCAACACTGTCAAAATTCGTGCTACTATTTTTTTTATTTTTTAACTTGGCTTGTGCAATGTGAATATTTTACTCAGATGGAAGAAAATGTTGAAGAATTGAAGTATTAGGTGGCACACTCCGTGACTCCACGCAATTGAGGCACGTGAAAGATATTTGAATGTCATGTAAGCTAAAAAGGTGTACAAATTTATATAAAAAAAAAAGGTTCAAAGGTAATAGGACCTTAGTTTAGTTAAGGGTACTTATGCCTTGTCCGTTTTATATTCCTCAAAAAGATCATTTTCATGTTAGATCAAATTCACACATGAATATCAATGTTGTTGTGTTAATGAAAGAAAAGTTGATTGATAATATACATGTTCTATAAAATATACTAAATTTGGTTAAAGTGTAATTGCGAGGACCATTAAAAAGTCAATTCTTGATGTATAAAATTGTATATTTTTCCATTTAAATGGATTGATCTTTTATTTTTGTCATTCAACAATAGAATTTATGCCTAGCAAGATATAAGTTCTTTAGAAACTGAAGTCATATTCGAACACAATTTATAAATATCATAATACAAAAATATAAATTCATGCCGCATAAAAAATATTTATTATGAGGGATATAATTCCAATCCAAAATTGGGGTCAAAAGTGCAAATGACCCCTCTTGATAAGTTCAATGATGAGATTTTCAAGTGGAGATCGCATTAGGTAAATTTTAAACTTATGTAGATCATATTGTGAATGTTATTTTAATTAATAAAATAATCACTATGTTGTGGGGGTGTTCTAAATTTTCTTTGAAATAAAAATAAAATATAAATGGATAACATACATAACTATAAAATACATGAATATAATATACACGATTTGCCTATAAATACATGAGATATACAATATTTGTATAATCATGTATAACTATGAGTATATAGATATACATGAATACACACGCGTCATGTGTGCGTGCGCGCACACACAATATGCACGTGCACACGCACACACAAAACACACACATTTGTGTGAGAGATATTATATACATAATTGAGTAAATATACATGAGATGTATATACTAGACTTAGAAAACATCAATAACTCTATTACAGTCAGAGGCGGAGCTAAATGGGGGTTCGAACGAACCCAATAGTTTTTCCGTAGACCCTGTATTTATATTAGCAAATTAAATAATATGTATATTAACTTGTGAACCCTTAACAAAATTGATTAACGGCTCAATGATAAGAAAGGGACATGAAAATGCTTTCCACACTAGTGTTTTGAGTTCGAAAATATTTTTCTCTTTTGTTCTAAAATTTAGAACCCCAAACTCTTAATACTGGCTCCGCCTCTCCTTACCAACCACCCTTACTTGATCCATCTTAAACTCCATTAAAATTTGCCATCAATCTTCTTTGTGTGAACCATATATCTACAAAATATGGGAATAGTTTTAATTGCAGCATAATAGGAACACGTGTATGGATACCAGAGGAAATTAAGTTTCTCAAAATCGACAAACTTGTATTATTAGAGTTAATATTAGCCAGTCCGCAAAAATAATTATATTCACTAGCTAAATATACACTATTTTGTATCAAAAATATATATTTTCGGTATATCATACAAAAAGAAAAAATATTTGCTAGCTATTATTTTAGTGGATGGTAATACAATTTACTTTTCACATTATAGTACTCAATATCTCCCAATTTATATATCATAACGTTCCTTCTTAGTCATACAAAAAAAAAAGTCATTCTTCCTTGTTTAAAAATAATTTAAGTCTGAACTTCAAATTTTATTCTTTAATGAGATGATTTATAATAACATATTTTTATACAACTTATTTTGGGCCACGAATTTCAAGATCTTTCTTTTATAAAATTTCATATCCAATCAAATAACGTCACATAAATTGAGACAAAAAAAATAGCTAGTTAATTTACAAGCATTGAAAGAGGGACTTGAAAGTAGAAGATCCATTCCACATTTCAGCTGCCATTTGGTGATAAATAGTTTCAGTTAGATGATAAGAGTCCCAAAATACATGCATATTTGGATTTTGACAAAGCTCAAATTTATGTCCGACTGGCCTTTTTCCTCCACAACTATGTATCCCTCTGAATCGTCCTATTCCACAACATGCTATTTTTCCTTCCTTGAGACCTGTTATAATCACAACGATATAATTTAATTCAAAATTTAAATTTTATGAATTCAAGATTATGAATTCTCCGATAGCATGACTTCACAACAAAACATTAATTCTAATTTGTGTAAATTTTCATGTAATGGATATTTTCAAACAAGTAAAATAAATTTAAAAATGAAAAATTATGAAGCTTAGGAATAGCAATGGAATGGACCATAGACACATAATGTAACAAAAGAGAGACGACAAATTAAATAAGGGATGAAAGATATTCAAAATTCATGTATTTAATATTTTAAAAGGAATATACAAAATTCATTTATGTGTATCCTTTTTTCAAACTGTTTTGAAATAAGTGGAAGGTGATCTATCAGAAATAATTTTTCTATCTCTACGAGATAGGGATAAGGTCTATGTGCATTCCATCAACCTCCACAAATATAGTTGTGAAGTTACACTGAATATGTTATTGTTATTATTATATTTTAAAAGGAATGAAAGAAGGATTCAACACATTCTTTCTATTTAAACGTGCAATAACAACATACTCACTGTGTCCCACAAAAGGAATCTGGGGAGGGTGGTATGCATATATATAGATCTTACTTTTATCGATCAGTATTATATATATATATAATCAATTATTCACATTAATCATGTATATATATGGCTTGAAAATAATTCATACCATATTTGGAGGGATGATCAATCCTTTCTCTCAAACGACTATTGAAGTCATAGAGTGAATACTTGAACCCTTTCAATTGTTTCTCCATTTTCGAGAGGGTATTGTACAACTCAACATTATGTAATTTGGCCATATTTGAAGCTTTCTCCAAACACCCATTTTTGTTAGATGAATTCAGCATTCTTAAGCCTGGTAGACACCCCAAGTCTCCTAAATTAAGGAACCCAAATTTCCTGCCTCCAATTTTGTATATCTCCTGTGGAATTCATATGAGCGAAACATCAGATAGACGAAGACTAGAAATCGCTAAATTCAATTATTGGTGACATGAGACAGTTACTACAACAAAAATAACTTTTAGCAGCAATAAATATAGGCATTAACAAAGAGTATTATTAAAGCCTTTATCGACATTAGTTAATTGTCATTGGATCCAATGTCGTTATAGGTTTTAGGGACATTTACATAGTTGCCCGTGTCTTGTAAGGCCAAGAGTTCTGTCAGCGTGCCAAAGCCCGATGAATTGACAGGGGATGGACAACTTCATTGCTCTTAGGCCCGTTGTAAGGCCAATAAGATCAGGAAGAAGGGGATTGGATTCACCCTTTTATCTAGACTGACTCTAATCATGATTTTGACTCTATTATGATACCTCCCTCTGTCGCGATAGAAATCGAGAATGGGGAGGGGGAGTTGGCTGTAATTGAGCGAATTCAGATGGACAATATGGATTTTTTCGAGATAGTTAACCACTTTTTTCACAGTGAGATGGCTGAAAAGGTAGTTCGAACGAAGTGAGAGGGTCGATATAAGCTAATTATCGCTAATTAATTATCGCTAAATATCATTTTTGATTTAGTGAGCTCATTTTTTAGTTAAAAGAAGAAAAAAAATTGGACGAATTTAGAGGTGGGAAAAACAATTCATTTTTTAGTATATGTTAATATTTAAACGGATTAAATCATGATCCTTTCTTTGTATCGATCATTTCAAAGGGTTAAACCCAAAATGACCTATTGATCGAAAAATATTTATAAATCAGTTTAACCAGCTTATAAACTTACTTGAACGATGGTCGTCAAGTTCCCGACTACCATTTGTTGGTATTGAGGAGAGATTGGTATTGAAGAATTGGTCACAAAGAGGCTTAAGTAGTCATTGCTTCCAAAGCTAAATAAGTAGACTGCATTTGACAAAATATTTTGTGATTTCCCTTTGCCCAATTTATTTCTCAACCAACTCTTCACCTTTTTGAAGTTTTTGAGCTGAGTCTCCATATCAATAACCTGAAAAAACAAAATTAATTAAACAATTCATGTTGATCTAAAACAAATAAATAAAATCATTGTTTTTCCAAATTACTTGTTTTTTTTCGGAAAAAGGACAAATATATCCCCGAACTATCATAAATGGTATGCAAATACCCTCCATCATACTTTTGGGACATTGATGCCCATGCTGTCCAAAAACTAGAGCATATATACCATTTATACTAACGGACATACACATGTCATAATCCTATCCGCCGACCCGACATTTATTAAATATCAGATCGACGGATAAGATTGTGCCACGTGTCCCTATTTAGTCTTCCGTTAGAGTGAAGGGCATATATGCTCTAGTTTTTGGACGGCAAGGGCACCAATGTCCCAAAAGTATGACGGAAGATATCTGCATACCATTTACGATAGTTCAGAGGTATATTTGTCCTTTCCCTCTTTTTTTTTGGTATAATCATGTCAGATATCTATGACTTTTGATACGAATAAACAGATCTCATTCGTAATCTATTTGGATACAATAAGCAAAGATATTGCATACGTTCGAATACACTTTTTAAGCATCGAATACAATATATTTCACTATAAAGATACACGATTTGTTTGTGATTTTCATTTGTTGATCAAGGTTCATGGACCACCTACCTACTAAAATTGTGGTGTGGATATAATATAAAGTCCAAAAAAAACAGCAGTGTATTTGTTTTTGGGCCTGACCTCTAGTACAAAGCTGTCATTGGTCACTATTGATTGTCTTATCACTTGTAATAAGCAATCATGCATCCAAAGCCTAGTACAAATTTATCAAATTAATGAACTCACATGTGTTAGAATATATACATAAATACATAATTACTTCCTCCATCTCAATTGTTAATTAATTATTGTGATTTATAATATTTCTTATATTATTTTTAAATATGTAAATTTTATTTCAGAAAAAATATTGAGAATTCTAGGGTAACTAACAAAAATCTCATTAGTCTAGTAGTTAATTACTTAGATACACACTAGTTTGCAATATCATAATTTTACCAGATTTTGGTGCATTTAGATACATGGGGTTAAAATTAGGTGTAATTTGTTCTAGATGCTATGTATCAAAGTGGATTCACATGTATTTAGGATACATAGACAAATCTTGCTCGCCTCTCTCGCATCTCGCTCGCCGTTACTCTCTTATTTAGTGTGATTCGCATGTATCTGGTATATATATAGACAAATCTCGTTCATCTCCCTCTAGTTCTCGCTTGCCTCGATCACTCCCTAGCTATTCAAGTCATGTATCTGGTAGCAATTAAAAAACATGTATCTAGGTGTATTTGACTTGAAACTTAGTATGAATTTTTTAATTAGTGAAATAAAATGTAATTATTTCAAGCTACAATGAGAATAAGTAAATATGATAGGAATGTCCTAATTCAAATTAAATATGAGTTTGAAATGATCAAGACAATTATTTTGGAACTAAGGGAGTATTATTTAATCATCACAAGTTTGTTTTCTTTTACTTTTTGAAACTAGACACTACCTTTTAGGTGTGCACTAGGTAAACTCATTTATTAATTATTTATTGAATTTTTTCCTTGTATATAATCATTAGTTAGGAGACTCTTTGTCCTCATAGATTTGGAAAAGGAATATATTATCCTTTTAGGATTGAGAGTTGGGGTTACTTGAGATCTATAATAGGGTATGTAGTTGGGGATTATAAAGTATTGTATATGACATAATGTAGTCCGAAGGGCTTGAGAACATTATAAACTTCTTCTCTTTTTTTCATAGTGAAAAATTTTCTTTGCTTTTGCTGGGAGGACTAGACCTAGCTGAACCTCATTAAATTCTTGTGTTATTTTTCTTCTCTGTTTTCTTTATTTGTGATTGTGTACTACTAAATCCACGATATTTGCACAACATCACTCTTTTGCAATAGCTCAAAAATCACATAAAAATGTAAATTATACTAGACAAACTCCGATTTGACACCTCAACTGAAAAAACATTTGACAGAAAAAATCAATCTCTAACCTTCTTTATGGAATATCACTGTCTTCACCAATTCAACTATTATTACGAGTATTTACTAATTAACTATACGTTACATTAATTTGATATAAATAACCGATGCGGATAAGATCGTATTCGTGATCTCTCATCTTAATTGTAGCGGAAATGAACCTAACTTAAAAAGTAGCTAATGGAACATATAACGGCTTTGAGAATCTGCCTAACATATACTATAATATCATATATTAATTTCACCTTACTAATTATATCAACATTTACTTTAAAAAATATGTTCCTAATATTAAAAATAGCTTGCATAGTCCCTTTTTTTATTTATTTCAGAATGTCGACACTAGGAAATACGAATAGGACAACAAACACATACTCCCTCCATCCTAATTTATGTAGCACTTTTCAGATTTCTAAATTCAATAAAGTCTATCTTTAATCGTAAATTTTTCATATATCTTTTAATTATTTTGAATGATCAATTATTGTGACTTATAATACTTTTTACATAGTTAACAAATATATAATTAAATTGAAGATTCCATGCTCAAATTTTCGATCAAACTTAAATTATTTGACTCTCGAAAAATGAAAAGTATCACATAAATTGGGACAAAGGAAGTAGTACTAGATATCATAAAATCATCAACACATTTTGGTTAAAATGAACAACGATAAAATGTGAAAGATAAATTTGAGTCGCTTTTATAACGTTAAATATTTTTAACAATATGGACTCTTATGCTGAATAGTGAGTCAAAATTATTTGTTAAGTTATTTTTGAAAAAGTCAACTATACAAAATTTAGTACTAATTCTGAGTTGTCTCTATAGAAAACATTTGATTCCACCTAATATAGCTATCTTCTTTAAGTCAAACAAAATAATTACTTCATCCTTTTTCACTTATGTCAAAGTTTGAATAGTCACCAAAAAAACAAGATTTTATTTTAAAAAAAATAATTGTTCTATTAAACATGTTACTCTATCTTTTAAGTATGATTCAAACTGTTATCTATGTTACATGATTTTGAATTCTCTTATTAGAATTTTCGATAAGGAGGAAATTTAACGACTTACCAATCCCTGAAAAGTAGTGACAAGAGCTCCGGCCCCGGCGGAGGCAAAATTTGCTCCATTATAATAGCTGTGTTGACTAGTGGGCTGCAGAAAGGGTGGCAGCAATGGCAGTTTTGCATATTCAGCTGTCACCAAATAAAAACAATAAAAAATACAAATATATATACAGTACAATATATTGTCATATAACAATCTAGGGTGGCTAGCTAAAGAGCCCCCCACCAAAAACACACACAAAAAATAAATAAAATTTGAAATGAGTAGCGGAGTCAAAAATCTTAATAAGAGAATTAAAAAAGAAGCAAGAATATCATATCACATTTATAATTCAAATTTGTGATATAAAGTAATTTTTGAACCATTTATGTTATTATTTAAAGATTTCGATATAAGACTATTCAAAACCTTATATGTTAAAAATATATTATATTTTATTTTGACTTATAAGTATACTTGTTCAGATTTTGAACTTTAAAATGAAGGAGGTTTATTTGAATACCTTCATTAATCTCAACTCCTTATAAGTTCTGAATTTGTCATTATATTCATATATCTCATTGTACTTATTGGATTCAGAATAAATATATATGCATATTTAATAAATTTCTTAATTTAAAATACAAAACTTACACTAAAATAATTAGACTCGTCTGAATTCATACTTAATACTATAGTTTCACAACAAGCACGATCATTGAGTCAGGGGCGAAATTAGGCTTTCAATTACATATTCGGTCAAACTAGTAACTTTAATCCAAACCCCTATATCTATCTTTAAATAATCCATTTAAATGTATACAACTATTAATACTAAAATTCTAAATCTATAAACTTCAAATCTGTTGTCTCAACAACAATATTACTTACCGATGAAATCGGAAATCAGACGTCCATCGGAAAATCTACCGGTGGGGAACTTGAAATAAGTTTCTCCATAAGGCTCGAAGTTGGCTTGGTCAAGAGTGGTGGTGTTGATGTAATTGTTGTTGCCCACATCAAAAAAAGAATCACCAAAGATGAAGAGAGATGCCTTTCCTTTTGTTTTTTGACATTGGCATTCCACAATATGGATATGGAAGCAATAAGTTATAAGATATAAGAATATAATGAGGACTAGGGTGAAATTTGAGGTACCCAAAGGCTTTGCCATGCTTGACTTTATTTGTGAATGAGAAATTTTGAACCTCCTTTTTATCAAGATATATATATATATATATATATAGCGTGCTAGCGTTTGACCATTATTTTTTAAAATATCTGTTTGGTCATAAATTTTGAAAATCTGCCTTATAAGAAATAATAATAAAGTTCCTATAAAAAGCTTGTTCAAATTGGTTTTTGGCATTTCCACTTATAAAACTTCAAGTTTTTTCCAAATAATTAAAAGGAAATATCCTTTTGGCTAGAAAATTTGGTCAGAATGGTAAAATAACATATTTCACACTATATTACTTTACCTTTTTGAACATTTTTACCTATTTAACTTTAATACCTTTTAATTAAAAATAGAAAAAAGATCAGTTTATTTTAAAATAAAAAGGATATTCTAGACTTTTCAAATTTCTGGCAGAATTCTACCAAATTTTCTAGCCATTTAACACTACCCAAATAGAATACATGTTCAAATACAATTTTTAAGTTTAAAAAATCATAACTTCAAAAACTAGAATTTTCGAGTAAAAATATCTTCAAGGGAGTATATTGTTATACATGTATGAGAATTTTTTAATGAAAAATTGATATAAATAACCGTTCACAAAAATAATAGCCAACAAACATTTTATTTTGTATATTAATATATGATATACATAAAATGTTGTATTTTAAAAAATATTTGATTAGTGAATACTATCATTTTTATTAGTCGACTAGCCAAATGTGTAACTTATCAATTTTTTAAGCATTTGTGAGCGATTTGAAGTATTGTTCCTGAACTATGCAAAATAGACTATTTATATCCTCTATTATATTTTGGGATAAAAAATGCACCGTTATTCCAAAGAGACCACATACCCTCAAGAGTTAACAATTCAAATTTTTAATATTATGACAAGCCACATAAAACTAATTCCTTCACTTAAACGTTGTCAACTAGAATTTCTACAAAATTATGAGTCATTAATTCTGACATGATGAAATCGATGACTTAGTTGTGGACCACTTGATTTAAAGATATGGTGACAGAAAATTGAATAAATTCATCAACCTCTTTGCTTAAAAAGACAACCAGCCATATTGCCCATAATTCAATAAGTGGCATATTCTACAACACATGATTTTGCCTTAAATACCCTAAGTTGAACAACAAAATTTAATAAAGGGTATAAATGATCTATTTCACACAGTTTAGAAATAATTTCGACTCTTTTTTGATTTTTTTTAAAATTCTTTTTGGGTTACCAAGTCAATGGTTATTACTATTAACAATTATGAGTGTGTTTGATACCAAAGAAAATATTTTTTTAGGGGGAAAGTGAGTTTTTATATCTACTTTTTAATATTTAATAAGTAAAAATATTATCTCAAAAATACTTATATATAATATAACAAATATTATAAGGTGGGATGGGGGCGGGCGTGTGACTGTTTGATGTGGGGTTAGGGGTATAAAGTAAGTGAATAAGAGACAATTAACTTGAAATGGCACTTACGAAACTCCTATTTTCATGAGTACGGAAGTCATTTTCTTTATTTTCTAAAGAATTTTCTTTTTCTAAAAAATATATTTTTCAAAATATTTTAAGTAATCAAATATGAAAGAAAATAATGAAAACACACCCTATATGTAGTTATTATTTAACTCATTTAAATTCATTGTGCAAATACTTTTTTAATAAGGTTCTGTTTACAAAACAAATTTGCTTAAGCAATTGTAACTTCTTCTTTTTTTTTAAAATTTTTTAAAAAAACCAATATTGTATTTTCCATTTTTCCTTCTACATAACTTGATGGTAAAATAAATCTTCACGAATGTTAATATAAAAAGGTTTAAACTCTAATTATCATTATGGAATTTTATTTTATTTTGAAAAAAAATCTGTTATTAATTAAAAATAAAATAATAAGTTAGTTATAGTCAATGAGTCATGAAAATGACAACAAATATTGTTAACCATATCCTAGTTGTTAGAAGATGTTATTCACGTTATGAGTTGTTTAAATATTTTATCGAACAAATCGTAATCAACGACTTTTGGATTTTTTTTTTTCATAAAGATAATAATATTATAAAAATATTTGACTGTAATAAAAAAAAAAATAGTACACACTAGGAGTAAAAAGACATTAAAATCTTTCATACGTTGTTTAAATTTGTTAGGAGCAAAAAACTTACTTCTTTGAACATATCTTCCCATATTAGCCCTGATTTGATGTTTCATAATTGGTAAACACCAATAATCTCATAATTTTAGGAGCAAATTATTTCTTTTCCCACAACTTTGCCATATAACATAAAATCTCATAAACAATGAGATGGAGATACATAGGAAATTTTTTATACAAAACTTGTGTGATACATGAGCAACTAATTTTGAAAAATTTAAATTAATCAAATCCCTTAATTTAAGTCTTTTTAAAAATAAAAATCAAAGATCAAGGAATGCATCTTCTTCTTTTAAAAATAAAAATAATAATAATAATCAAAGATCATGGAATGCATCTAGTATGATTTGCATGTATCTGAGATACACACCGAATCTCGTTTGCCTCCCTCCCCATCTCGCTCGCCTCTCTCCCTATTTTTGTGTATTTGGTAGCAAAAATACATGTATCGAAGTGTATTTTTTAATATATGGTAGGAAACTCTTAATTAGTGGTAAGATACGTAATATTAATAATAATAATATATATAGAGCAAAGCATATCTAATTTATGTAGTTTTTCCATATTATTTATGTAGTATGAAGGACTTTAGCAAAATAATATTCGTCTTTGACACTATTCGACATTCAAATTTATCATAAAGTAGTAATATTAACATCAATAGAAATATATATGCTTACGATTTGAGGTAAATCTTCTAACTTTTAGACTGTAGTACGTAATTAAAGTTATATATAATGGAGTAATAAATATTGACGCATTTTTTATTAACGGCAAAATTAGAGATTGGCTATGTAATATTTGTTTAAACATCTCATTATGATTAAAATCTGATTTTATAATTCGAGAGCTATTATAACTAATTTTAAAATTAAATTAGATTAAAATAGTTTAGTTAAATTGAAATTTAGATACTCAAATATTATACGAATAATATTGTAATTTTTTTATATTAATATGGTATAAAAATACATCTCAAAATATTAATCAAAACTCATATAATTTGACTTTAAAAAAAGAGAAGTAAAACACGACAAATATTTTAAGAGAGGAGTGTCACAATTATGTAGTAACTTAGAAATCTAACCAAGCACGAAATAAGATAATTCTGCAATTTATCCTAAAATTGTTATTTTTATCTCTAAACCAAACGACTTCCTAATAGTAACATACAATACTAATTCTATCTATGAAAAATGATCAAAAATGTCCTTCCACCTATTGAATCAATTTTAATATGTAACTACAAATATTTGTTTGTTTATAAAAAGAATATGAAGATATACAATTTATTAACTCAACGCCTTAAAATATTCCAATGGTTTATCACCTACAATTTGCTCAATATATATGAATGTATAAATGTATAAGAGTTGAATAGGATTTAATAGTTTTCATACATCATTGGAATTTCATGTTTATAAGAAATATAACCTAAGAAATTCAAATATTCAAATAAAATTTAAACTTTAGAACTAACCAAATTTCAAATCATGATTACAATCACCATTCATCTGCAAAATCTAAAATCATGAATTTGTTCTAGTAAAATAGAAAACTCGGCCAAATATAAACTTATGATTCAAATTTTATATTTAAAATCACAATTAGAGATTTCCAGGTCCTTTTTTTGTCGGAGAATTTGAAATTTGAAATCATGAGCTAAAGTAAAATTTTTGTACAAATTTCATAAACAAATGCTAGTTTAAAATCAAAAGTTGAAATTAGGTTCTCAAATCCTATGAGCAAAAGCCTTCTATATGCATAAGGTTGAATAGGATGAACAATGTCAAGCAACTAGCCATAAATAACCAAGTTGTGAAATATAAAGCATTTTGAACCATCAATTATCATCCACATTGATGCAAAATTTGAAAACATCAGCTAGTTGTCAACAGTTGTTAATAATCTAATTACCCACCTATTGGTCTAATGGTCTATATAACCAAAACACTTACTCAGCACACCATCCATGGAGCCCTAAACATGCTTGAATGGTTGTCAACTTCTCATCATCCTCCTTAGCACAGGCACCTAAAAGAAGAAGAGACAGATCAAACATGTTAAATTTTGAATTTACACTTACGTCAAGTAACTTAGCGTTGTTTGGAGAAGAGAGATGAGGAGCAAACCTCATCTTCACATGAAGCCCTTATTTACAAAGAATCCACACGTAACACATTCTCAGACGCCTCCCATTAAAGAAGAAAGCTCATCAAAGGACCAAAGGTTCATAGCATTTTCACCACCCTGAGTAGCATCTGCATTGAGGAAGGCATCAACTGGTACATCCAAGTTTCCTTCTGAATATGGCATCTGATAGAACTTCATCTGGGATTCAAAAGTTGAAAATTCTTCAGGTGGCTTGTGTACAGTGTTCACATCATCAGGCACAAAATTGTTGGACCAAGATTTTGGTTTCTCCTCCAGGTCGACACCTTCAATAAATTGAGCTTCATCACATTCTATAGCAGCTGACAGAACAGATGATATGTCTGGAGTTCTTGAACATGTTTCTCCCCAACCAAAATCTGAGGGGCCAAAAGAGTTACTTCCTTGGTCAGAATTGAAGTAAACACCAGCAACAGCTGGGCGGGCATATGAGTTAGGTCCTGTATCTACAGGAGTCGCACACAAAGCTTTGTAGCCATACAGAGTCTTTGTTTTCTCTTCGAGAAGGCCCAAATAGTCACAATATCCACTATTCAAGTTGTTCATAAACATGGTGTTTGACAGAACTGGGTTAGAGCTCTCATCAGAAAGAACCTTCCGAGGATTTACCTTACCAGCTTGCACTGAAGCTTCATCAGGAAAGTTTACTTTAGC